TGTAGAGAGTGCAACACACTTCTGCAACTTTGACTGCCATGATATAGCTCCCCCTGCAAAAGTGAACATGTATCCTGTAGTAGATTTGCGATTATCAAGATCACCTGCCATATCAGCATCTGTGTATCCCTTCAAGACTGGATCTGATCTCTCAAAACACAAGCATTCATCTGAGGTTCATTTTAGATACCTAAGTATCCACTTCACATCTTCCTAATGTTTCTTTTTCGGTATTATCAAGAAACCTGCTAACAATACCGACAACATGAGCAATATCAGGTCTGGTACATACCATTGCATACATCAAACTCTCGACGGTAGATGAATATCGAACTTTAGCCATACTTTCTTTATCTTCATTTGTTGTAGGACACAGTGTCTTGCTCAACTTTATATTACTAGCAAGAGACGTGCTAACTATTTAGCTCCCATCATGTTGAAGCGTTTAAGTATACGTTCAATATACTTATGATGTGACAACAACAACTTACTATTTGTCCTATCTCGGACAATCTTCATTCCTAGAATTTGTCGTGCTGGACCCAAATCTTTCATATAAAATGACTTGGACAAATCTTCCTTCAACTTGGAAATTAACTTTTTGTCTTGTCCTACAATTAGCATGTCATCCACATATAATAACAAGATGATAAAGTTATTGTTAGAGAATTTCTTATAGTATACACAGGGATCTGAAAAAGTCTCTGTGTAAGTTTGACTTCTCATGAATGAGTCAAACTTCCTGTACCACTGCCTAAGTGCTTGTTTCAGCCCATAAAGATTCGTTTTCAACTTGCATACCATGTGTTTTTTCGCCTTTACTTCAAAACCTTCTAGCTGCTCCATATAGATCTTTTCTTCCAAATCTCCATGCAGAAACTCAATTTTCACATCTAACTGTTCCATTTCAAGATCTAGGCTAGCTACCAAGCTCAAGATTGTTCGAATATAAGTCATTTTGACAAAATGTAGGAAAATTTTATCAAAATCAATACATTTCTTCTGTTCGAAATCTTTTACCACCAACTGAGCTTTGTGTCTGACCAGCTTGCCGTTTCCATCTTTCTTGAGCTTAAATACCCACTTGCACTTGAGCGGTCTTTTGCCTTTTGGAAGATCAACTAGTTCGTATGTATCATTCTTCTGTAGAGAATTCATCTCTTCTTACATGGCTTCCATCCACTGGATTTGTTCCGAATGAGATTGCAGCTCCTTGAAATTTTCTAGCTCACCCTCATCAGTGACGAGGATATACTCCGAAGAAGGATACCTTGTGGACTCCACCTTCTCTCTTTTAGATTTTCTCAAAGGTGGTTGTCCTTCTTCTTATTGTTGTTGCTCTCCTTCTTCCTCTTATGGACTAGGGTGCTCCCCCTGCTCAGCAACCTCTTCATCTATGCCTTTCGTGTGCCATTCTTCATCTGTGGAAGAATTATGTTCAAGTACAGTAGGAGTAGTAACAAAGTTAGTAACTGTACCATTATCATTTTTTGTATTTGTTGATTGATCACTATCAATCCCGACCACATCTTCTTTGAAGATCACATCTCTACTTCTGATGATCTTTTTCCTTTCTGGGCCCCACAATCTGTAACGGAACACTTCGTCTCCATAACCGATGAAGATGCAGGGAATAACTTTGTCATCCAACTTCGTTCTCTGCTCCTTCGGCACATGTGCAAAAGCTTTACATCCAAACACTTTCATATGGGAGTAGGACAACTCTCTGTTGGTCCAGACTTTCTCTGGAATGTCAAAATCCAATGGAACTGATGGACTTCTGTTAATTAAGTAACAGGCTATGCAAGCTGCTTCACCCCAAAATGACTTAAGTAGTTTTGTCATTTTGAGCATACTTCTCACTTTTTCGGCAATTGTGCGATTCATCCTTTCAGCTACACCATTGTGTTGTGTGGTTCCAGGAACTGTTTTCTTATGTCTGATTTCATGGCTTGAGCAGTAGTCTTCAAACTCCTTTGAAGTATACTCTCCTCCATTGTCTGTCCTGAGACGCTTTAATTTTTGATTTGTCTCTCTTTCCACCAGAGCATGAAATTTCTGAAATACTTAAAATACCTGGTCTTTGGTTCTCAAGAAATAAACCCACAATTTTCTTGAATCATCATCAATAAATGTGAAAAAATATTTGTTACCTCCCATTGATTTTACATTCATTGGACCACAAACATCTGAATATACTAAATCAAGTATATTTGATTTTCTTCCAAGAGTTGCTTGAAATGATACCATGTGTTGTTTTCCAAATAAACAATAGTCACAAGAATTCATAGTTGTACCTTTTACAAATGAGATGAGTGACTTTTTGGATAGGATCTGCAGTCCTGTCTCACTCATATGGCCCAATCTCCGGTATCATAAATCTGCAGGCGTATCATCTACAACCGCATGTAATCCATCTTCACATATCTCAGTGGTTGTATTGTACAATGTGTAGGAAGCAACTCCTTTAGCAATCACCAATGATCCCTTGGTGAGTCTCCACTTCCTATTGGCGAAGTGATTCTCGTACCCGTCTCGATCTAGAGCGATCCCAGAAATAAAATTCATTCGCAGATCTGGTACATGCCGCACATCTTTTAAAACTAATGTGCATCCGATATTTGTTTTGATACAAATGTAACCAATCCCCATAATCATTAAGTGACTGGTATTTCCCATCTTGATCATTCCAAAGTCTCCTACTTTGTACCTACAGAAGAATTCTCTTACCGGTGTGGCATGGTAGGATGTTGCTGTATCAACCACTCATTCTGACTCTTGGCTTACTAAGTACATGCATTCCTCCTCCTCGTGAACAAAAAGAACCATTGAATCATTGTTATGCACTGTAGCAGTTGTGTTGTCATCATTCTTTTAGCCACTGTTCTCGCCTAGACCTTTCTTTGGGCAATCTCTTTTGAAGTGACCGGGTTGACCGCAACTGTAGCAATTTCTACCCTTTGACCGGTTCTTGGACTTTCCACGAGCTTTGGATTTATTACGGCTACTCGATGCTCTATAGAAACTTCTTCCTTTGTTTTCCATGATAAGAGCCTACCCTTGATTTTCGGGATTCTTCCTCATCTTATCATTGGGTATGATGGCTAATGTGATCTCCTTTAAATCGATGGTATCTCTACCATGCAGGATGGTTGTTGCCAAATTATCATAGGAAGATGGCAACGAGTTTTAGAAGCATGATAGCCTTATCTACTCCGGTGATTGTTTCTCCAAGGTTTTCCAGCTACGTGATTAGTCCATTGAACATATTTAAATTGGACAAAAAATTTGTACCTTCACTCATATAGATGGCATAAAGCTGCTTTCTCAAAAATAAGTTGTTTGTTAAGGATTTAGACATGTATAGACTTTCTAGTCTTTTCCAAATACCACATGCACTATTTTCATCCCCGATATCATTGAGTACTTTATCGGACAAGTGTAGTCTGATTGCACTAGCCGTCTTCTTATCCATGCCTGCCCAATCTTCGGCTTTCATGGTTTTCGGCTTTTCCTCTTTACCATCTAGTGCAATATCTAACCCTTGTTGGATGAGTAGGTACTTCATTCTTCTTTGCCATATGGAGAAACCATCATTACCGTTGAATCTTGTTACTTTATATTTTACTCCTAACATTTGTTTTTGTCACAAAGTAAAATTTACCGTAAATAATTTTTTTGTGAATGAGCAGAACTTGTGCTCTGATACCAATTGTTGGGAATAAACCCCCCCACAGAAATAATATTCACAGTATACGACTATAATAAATGTGAATTACTAAAATACTGTAACCAACAGTAATAATAAGAGAAACAAGAACATCGAGATTTTTACGTGAAAAACACTTCTAAAAAAGGGGAAAAATCATGGCCCGAGAGGAGCAACTGATTTCACTATAGCAAGGATTTTACAATTTGTGGTACTGAGTAAAATACTCTAAGACCACTAAACACTTAAAAGAAATAACCTTTTTTTTAATGTTTTCACCTCACTACAATACCGCTCAAACTCTCTATATTTTTTCTTACAGAGTATTTTGGTATTTGGCCTCTTACTCTGTAAATAACTCTCTTTCTCTTTGTTTTGGTGTGTCTTACAATGAAGGTAGATGCATCTATTTATAATTGAAGAATGTTCATATTGATGTATGCAATGGCATCAATATTTACTTCAAAAATCTTCTTAAATCTTTTCTAGTACTAATTGGTTGGCTTTAAGTTTTCAAAAGCAAAAGAAACCTTTTATTCTTTCACATATGGGATGGACCCAACAATCATTTCGTAGTAGCAAAAAAGGCAGATTGTTTTCCTAAAACATAGATAATGGACATATTCGGGAAACAATATGAAAAGCATTAGATTAGGAAAAATAACTAAAATAACTAAAATAACAACTTTCCCTCTATCATAAATATATCAAAAAGGAAAAATATTAACTTTTTATCAGAAACTCACATTGGCATGTGCACAATCTTGATTATCAGATAATAATTTGTTCATTAGCAACATAGTAGAATCCTAACTAGGTGTTTCTCAGCAAAAAGATTCAAGTAAAATCTCATTCACAAGCAACAGCAGCTCCCTTTTGAGCATATTTCTGAGATATATAATAAAGAACAGGAAAGGTTTTTGCTTCTGCCTCGAACTCTTAAACAGCAAGTAGCATTTACTGCAAATACACCTGGAATAATGAAAAGGCAAGGCAACAAGTCTCTAAATTTTTGGTTCTTTTCCCCATTTCCATATTTGATGTGTATGTTCTAATAATAAATGGAGAAACGAAACGGCAGAATCAGTAATTTTGTGCTTTCCGCCTTCTGTTCTCCATTATTAGTCACATTTGGTTCAGTCATGGCTTTTGTTTAACATCAAACACCTCCTATGCATAATTCAGATAGTTGATAGAACTTGATCGTTGGCCAGACAATCAAGCAATAAGCATAGAATTGAAGAAATAATCATATAATAGAGAATTGCAATCAAGGAGAAGTTAGCGTCTAACAACAATATTCATGGCTAAATCACAACTCCGAAACTAATGAGTCATAGCCACTCATGATAGTACTAAACAATTTCACAATTGTTTGAATGATTGAAAATACTAAGAATGAAGGAAAACTAATAATCCTTGCTCCCTAGTGTTCCGTGCGTGTATTCTACTCTCAAAGTTGCGTCTCTCCCTCCAAATTAGTGTTAGAACTCCTTTTAGACGAGTTGAGGTAATGTAGGGCCGTCAAAACCAAGTCACGGGCAGGCGCGTTGCGCTGGCCTGGGGCACTAACCCGGGAAGTTTTTCTATTGCTTCTCTTTTTGCCCCAACTTCTCTTTCGTTCCAAATCGCGTACAGTCGACTCCTACACATAACAACATCACAATTTAGCATAAATCATCACAATACATATACAATTACATAAAATTCGAGTAAAATATGAGGCGATATGCATATAAATATAAATACTTTAAGCCAAATATACCACTCATCTACCACCGCATTTTGGACGGGGTAGTAGCAAAAAACCAGATAAATAATGGATGTATACCGGAAACAATAGAAGAATCAATAAATTAAGAATTACCCCTAGGTTGGAAGAGATTGGAGTTCTTGCAAACTGTGGCTCAGAATAACGAGTCTGAGACTGGACCTGCACCTACAGAAACATAAATGAGACAACATCTCGCGACATTAAGGCATACTGCACGAAACTACAGATTAAGCAAAGAAACATTTTTTGTAAATTGAAAAATGGAGAAGAACAGCATTTCCTATTTTTTCCTTCTGTGGGTATACACAGTGTTGTAAGTGGGTGTGTTCCTATCATCAAAAACCAGAAAGGAAAATATAACCTTTTAAAGAGATACTCACATCGGCATCTACACGACCTCGATTGGTATCTTCACCAAACAGAAGAGGAAATTCTTGTTTGATTTCAAGAATATCATCGGAAATGTCGACCACCTAGAGAGAAACAATCAACCAAATGAAAAACAATAAAGAAGAAACAAATTAGTGGCATCATAAATCATAAACCAAATGAAAAACAATAATCATATATTTTCTTTTTTTGGGGGAGGGGGGTTAACACAACCCTTATTATTCTCACTCATTCCTCAGAAGGTAAGTATATATTTTCATGACGGTTGCATCAGTATTAGTCTTGTATGTTTGTATTTTCTTATCCGTAAATTTCTTTTACTATTTGTTGGTTCGTTTGCTTCGATTATTCTATCTCTTTATCACCTATCTTGTTGTTGTTATTAACTGTTATTTGTGCTTCTTTTCAATTTTTTCCTTGAGTCGGGATCTATCGAAACAACTTCTCTACCTTCACAAGGTAGGGTTAAGGTCTGCGAACACTCTATCCTCCTGAGACCTCTTTATGTGGAATTATACTGGATTTATTGTTGTTGTACTCCTTAGTGTCCGAGGCGTGCTTAAATGGGCGACATGTGGAAAGTGAGAATTCATATAATCGATCCAAAATTTCTTGAAACTAGAACATAGGTGTTGTTTTCTACTGAGTAGCAGGGGGGTCGGTAGGGACGGGGGACCTAAAGAGAAAAGGAAATTTGAACACCCAATAACATGCACAACGTTAGAGCGGATACTAGAACAAATGACAAAATGGAACAGAAGAAGCACAAGATAGTCTACAATGATAAAAGGATAGACAAGACACAAATCATACAGGAAGTTCTTTTATTAAATCTCAACAATGAAAAAAGAAAGGCATTATCAAAGAAAAAGGCATATCCTGATTAACAGATACTCATATGGGTTTATGCATGAGCTCGATCAACATCTTCACCAAACAGTTTATATTCTTCTTGTTTCATTTCAAGAATATCGCCGGAATTGTTAACAACCTAGAAAACATAAGAGAAGAACATGTTAAATTGGATTATGAAAGGATAGTGCAGACACATATTTATCATACTTAAATTGAATCTCAACAAAGAAAGGCATTATCAAGTAAATAAACGTTACAAGCATCAAGAACACATAGTAGACTCCTGTACAAGGGGTTAATCTCCGCAAAAGACTTGACGAATCTCAATCTCAAGATACAGCAGCTACCTTTTGAGCATTTCTGAGATGCATACAATAAAGACAAGGAAAGATTTTGCCTTTGCCTCGAGCTCTTAAACAGCTGGTAGCATTTAAGGGAGTCTTGTCGTAACTCGAAAAGTTGCTGCCATGTTACCACGAGGTCACGGGTTCGAACCATGGAAACAACCTCTTGCAAAAAATGCAGGGTAAGATTGCGTACAATAAACCATTGTGGTCCGGCCCTTCTCCGGACCCTTTCACCTGGAAAACAGACCAAAGAAATTCCTTGGTCTTTTGGCAGCTATTCTGTCTATAGATCAACCTTCTCTCAAAGTGTCTACATTAAACAATTATATAAGCTATTAATTAACCTAAACGTCATGAAGCATATGTACTACTCTACCAGGGGTGGTTGCACCAGTTTTACCATGCCAGGAACAAAGACTAGCATCTTCGACACATAAACATGCCCTAATCTACAATGCGATAACTCGACTTTATTATAAGAAGAAGCATTCATGGCCTGTGGGGAGGACACAAGACCAGAACTCTCAAAGATGTTTGTATACAATACGAAGAACAGAGCTCTGATCAACAGTTTGATCACAGAATATATACCTTCGGTAGATTCAAATGGGCAAGAATCTATATATATTAATATTACCCTTCTCTTAAACCAGGAAAGCTGCTTATATCTTCTACTCCCTGCCCTTCCGGGTAGGGTAAGAACCTGTGGGGTACATCCCATAAATTAAGGACGATAACATTCTTCCTTTGATAAGCAGCCACCTTTCTTTTCTTTCTGCGTTGTCAATATTGTAGGGTATGGGATTTGCAAATCTGCAGAACAAAAATGTCAAATATAATAGGCGTGAGAGAGTGAGGTTCCGCCTATAAAAGGAGAGTTTCGGCTTCTTCATTTCAACACACCAATAAAGAGAGAAAAAAAGAGTGGTTTCATAGACAAGATATACGGAAATAGTCGGTGAGAAAAATAAAGATCGAGCGATATTGTAGTGAGGTGGGAATATCAAAAGAGGATTATTTTTTTTGAGTATTGTAATGGTCTTTGGAGTATTTTACTCGGATCTACAAAGTGTAAAATTTCTTGCTATAATGATATCAGTTACTCGTCTCGGGCCCGTGATTTTTTCCCTTATTCAAAAGGGTTTTTCACGTAAAAATCTTTATGTCATTGTCATTCTTTTATTCTAGTTAATTATATTATCTCGGTGTCACGTTATTATTCCGCTTTTATTACTGTGAATATTATTTCTGTAGGGTGTTTATTCCCAACAGAATTTTTTTTTTTTCCCCAGAACCCACTTGTGAGAATTTACTAGTCAAAAAGTATCTTTGTAATATGTCGGTTCTTTTCTCATTTCCATACTTAAGGTTTATACAAGAACTAGCTATTTATCAATGTGAAAGCTTCTAATAATTAAAGGAGAAATGAAAACGAGAGTCCCCAGTAGTCTACATTGATAAAAAGATAGTTAAGACACATATCATACATGAAGTTTTTAAATTGAATCTCAACAACGAAAGAAAAGACAATATCCTTTTGGCATCTTCACCAAACAGTTGAGATTCAACCACATAGAAAATATGAGAGAAACAAATTAAATTGAACGATGAAAGAAAGGATAGTGCAGACACGCAGACCATATTTAATTGAATATCAACAAAGAAGGAAAGAAAGACTTTATCAAGTAAATAAACGTTACAATCATCAATAACACATCAATAACAACAAATTAAGCCTCAATCCCAAACAAGTTGAGGCCAGTTGGATGAATCCTCACTGACCATGTTACTCCAAACAAGTTGATTATAATTTATACTGATAAATAAATCTCTGAAGGAAGCATCAAGAACACATACATATTCATCAAGAATTACCCCTTGGTTGGGAGATATTTTAGTTGTTGTAAACTCTGAGCTAAGTTGTTCTTGCCGACTACATTCATTCGCTTCCTCGTGTCTAGAGTCGAATTGGTCACAAATTTCTCTGTTTTCTAGAAGAGGGTCCAATGATTTGTCCTCGACGGGAGCAGAGAAGTGTGCCGACTTACTACGCCAGTCATCGGTGTCTGGCTCAAAATTACTAGTGTGAGACTGGACCTGTACCTAAAGAAACATAAATGACACAACTCGTGGCAACAGAAAGTGCATATTGTAAGAAAGTAATAAATCAAAAAGGAATCATTTGCTTGCATTCCCTCTCTTTTTTCCTTGTGGTAGTGCACAGTATGTTGTAGATGAGGGTGTTCCTGCCATCACAAATATTAGAAAGGGAAAATACAACTTTTTTATTGAGATACTCACATTGGTATCTGCACAATCTTTATTAGAATCTTCATCAAATAATTCAGCTTCAACTTCTTGCTTGAGTTCAAGAATATTGTCCCTCAGCTGCAGCAGCTGATCTCCGGTCTAAACAACAACAGCAATAATAATAATAATAAAAGAAGACTAAGACTCAAGAAACATATTGTGCAGGAAGTTTTTAAATTGAAGGCATTATCAAGTAATACACGTTACAAGCATCAAGAAGACATACATATTTAACATAATGTCCAAGTAAAGAGAGTTGAAGATGAAATGTGAAAGCCGGAATGGTGTAATTAAAATTAAGAATTTGACAGCTGATCTTAATAGACTCCAGAATAATTTGTTCAATAGCAACATGGTAGAATCTTATACTAGGTGTTTCTCAGCAAAAAGACTCAAATAAATCTCAATCACAAGAAACAGTAGCTCCCTTTGAGCATTTTTCTGAGATATAATAAAGAAAAGGAAAGGTTTTGCTTCTGCCTCGAATTCTTAAACAGCAAGTAGCAAATTCACCTGGAAAAATATAAAGGCAACAAGTTTCGTTCTTTTCCCATTTTCATATTTAATGTGTATATGCTTCTAATAATAAATGGAGAAATGAAAAGGCAGAATCAGTTGTTTTGTACTTTCTGCCTTCTGTTCTCCATTATTAGTCACATTTGGTTCAGTCATGGCTTTTGTTTAACATCAAACACCTTCTGTGCATAATTTTAGGTGTCTATGTATTCAGCCTTTGTTAATTATATGTTAAATAATATAAGGACAAAAGTGTCATTGTCCATAAGTTGGTTAAGTTGTTAAGTAAGTAGTTACCGAGCTAGTTAAGCTCGTTCTCTATATATGTATCTGTATCCCAGTTCAATAATCAGATCAATGAAATCTCTTTCTCCTTCTCTCATTTCTATTTTCTTTTATAAATTACATCAAACGAATTATGAAATGCGACTTATATGTCACGTTCAAGGAATGCGAATTATAAGTAGCACTGCATTCAAGGAATGCGAATTATAAGTCGTATTCCAGAAATGCGTTATTTCTTCTGAATACACTAAATATTGGACTCAGTTTCGAATAATTTATTGCCTCCTTTTTCATAGTCCTGAACAATCCTAATAAGATAACTTTTGAATTTGAGTTAGGCTTTTTAATTTCTCTTTTTTCCTGAGTTACTCGATAAAAGGTTAAATTTTGGTGCTAGCTCATCGAACTAGCAATTTGTACTATTTTATAGCTTACAAATAAAGTAGAGACAATGGCGAAACTAAGAATTTTTTTAAGGATATTCAAATTTAAAATAAGTGAATAAAAATTTCCGACAAAGGGTGTTCAATATGTGTTATATACCTTTAAAACATAATATTTTATCTATATACACAGTGTAATTTTTCGACGAAGAGTGGTCAGTTGACCACCCTTGTGACCATGTGGCTTCTGCGTAGAAAACATGGAGAGGGAGTTAGCATTATTAATACAGTAATACTACCCACACTCCGTATTTATATGAATGTAATCTTCATTTTGACAGGCAAGAATAGTCTGTATTTTATGTCATAATTGAAAACTAATTTAAGATAAAATCGAAAATAGAGTAACTAGAAACTCTAAACAGTAAGAACTAGAGTGGTATGATTGACTTGTCACATTCAATAATAATTTCTTTTTTCCACTGATATTCGGTATCTGTTTTGTCGCTCGGACTAATCCGGGTTCACGCCGGATACGACTCATTAATATTAAAGCGGAAGCATTTTTTTTATTCCGCGTGTTGATCGAGACTTCTGATTAAGAGGACAAGGGACACTATAGTTAATATGTAAAGGGTTAGAAAGTATGTAATGCCTTTTATATATGGAGTAATTAACAATATTTTTATCCTTTTAATCTATACTATATTAAAAGCACGAAAGCCCTTAGCGAAATGTCGTTCGCCTTTTTTACCCT